AGGCCATGTCAAATCTAAAATTGGCTGCTATTATTTTAAGTAAGACTTCAAGCATATCAGGTCATTTTTTAAATCTGTTATTGTTTAAGGTTCTGTTAGAAGAAACTATATTGTAAAAAATGCCAGTGATAAGGATATAATAGAATGTATAAAAAATTGGCTTCGTCATGCCAATACTAGGAGTAGCAATCAGTAAGTTAAATTTTTATTTACCACGGGTGTGAAATATACTCTCAGCCTTATTTTTTGCACTTCCGATTAGGTAAGCTGTACTAGTCAGTTCATACTACCTATTCAGTAGTGACTAGAGCAAAGAGAGTTAACTTACTTCTCCAAGTTGTGAAATTTTATTTTGGAATCTCAGTAAATGCATACGTTTGGCAATTTACCGTATTAAACAAAAGAACTGCAACCCGGGAAATATCGTAGCTTATAACTCCTGTCACACACCTTGGCAATAGAATTTCAGTTTATATAACACAGGTCAACAAAAAAATAATTTTTTTTTGCGCATAGGATTTACATAATATATTCTGACTATACTAAGCAAAAATAAATAAAAAGTGCAATTAGACATCGAAAATATTTGCTTTTACAAAAGTTATAGCGATTTGATTGAAAGCTTTCAGGGGCGAAAATTAAAGCTGGAATCTTTGTTTTCCCTCAAATAGAAAGAAAAATGGAGGGTGGTATTTTCCCGCGGTTACTTAGCAAAGAGGAAAACATCCTGGAACAGTTTTAAGGCAATAGTCCATGGTTTCCCGTTCAGTGTTTCCTGGGAAACCATAGAGCTAAAATTATGACGAGCTGAGGGGTTTTGGTTTTGTATCATCGGGTATAGAATGTCTCTAAAGATGCACAGGTTACATTCTCATTTAGATTAATTTAAGGATAATATGGGAGCTTATTCGGAATAACAAGGACAACCCTTTCATCAAGACATAATGGAATTTAGGCACATTACCAAGACCAGTAAGCTGGAAGCATGATGGAAGATCATATTTGGGGGGTTGATGAGAGAAACTTCAGTTGAACATGACAAAAACAGCAAAACTGTTCCATTTTTAAACATTTAGACTTTAAGACAAACAGATTATAAATGTAGGAACGTTACCTTATAATAAACCATGCCTACGTAAGTAAGATTTTATAGGTATTTTTATTTTTTGGTTTTTTGCATTTTTTTCGCACAAAAACAAATACATAACCTTTTTTTGTTCTAATTCTTATTTGTGGCTATACAAGCAATACAAATAAGGTATATATGTCCCATGCGCAAAAATGCTGTAGACCGGTGTAATATAACCTTAATTAGAGCTATATTTTATATTATTATATTTATATTTTATAGGTAAATTAATACACATTTTTGTTTTAGGCAGAAGAAAGAAGCAAAATAGATCCTGTGAGGTCGTTTTTCTCATTTATTTTATATATTATTTTCATTATTATAAGTATTTCAGTTAATGTAATAAAGCACTTAGGTATACACTTATAAGAATAGTATTATTAATTACCTCTTCTGGATTTCTTTTTTAAGACTAATGGATATCCACTTAAAATCTCTAATGGATGTCCATAAAATACTGGATATTGGTCGGACATATGGATATCCACTGAATCTCCATTAAATATCCACAAACATCTAATGTATATCATGGATATCTATAAAAAATATCCATTGGAAGTGCACTAGACGTTTGTGTGCTATGTGGGTAATGGTTGAAGTTGCTCCCAAAGTACTCTACAAGTCTCTTTCACTATGCAGTGAACAGTTGTCTTCCCGATGAAGTAATTCCATGCTAAATCCTGCATAGATGTGCCCTGGGATAAAAAACTATCACTACCTATATAAGTATACCTCATAATTATTTCAACTTTACTGTAACGTAACCATCAGTCGTTCTTCCGGACTTATCAAAATTCTGTTGCGTGGCTGCTTCGACAGAAAGGGCTTTACTAAGTTCAATAAATATTCAAACGAATTTATAGTTAATCTTGAATATTCGAAAAATTGCTCCACATCATTCTGTTTTATATATTTGACCAGCGTAGTAAAATGGCCAAAACGCTTCCTCTGTTTATTAAGAGGCTGTACAGCCCAGCGCCTTTTACGTTGTTGTTGCTTTGTTAATACAACTGTTGAAGTTAACAACAACATACAGATCCCTAAACACATCAACTTTTTACGACGATTATTCATCTTCTATCTGTAAAATGGCAAAGTTATAACCACCCACAATGCACAACAACATTGCATGTCTTTACCTTACCTGATGCCAAAGAAGTAGTGATACAAAGGATAACGGATAACACTATAACAATCTTCACAAACAAATTCCTCGAACAGTAAGTCGATATTGATTATTGAGGTTATGTTCGTAATTCAGTTTGTGGAAACCGCGAAAAAAAATGGGGTTGGACTAATTTTGTGCGAGAGCGCATGCCTACAACTATTTCTCTTAAAATAAATTCTTTGGCATAAACCATTCGTTGAAAAGAATTAAAATAAAATTAAAATAAATGCTTAAAAGTTTTGCATACACCCACCTTTATACTACTTAACTTATAATTAAAATTAGTTTGAGTATCATTCAAGTGCCCGTTATCCCTATAAGGTGTTAATAAGTTTTTCATTAAGGGGTATGCCGAGTCTCCAAGTAAATGTTGGTTGGCTGGAAGTAATGGATGCATAACATTTGTTAACTGGGCATATATACCCTAATAACACATGATATCCCAGGGATGTACCATTAGGGTCTCTACAATGCCCCAATGTCCCGGCCCTAAGTGCGACAATCCTGAGATGTTCTCTTTGGTACATTCCTAAGACGTTTTACGTGGGATGTTCGATAAACATTCCATACAAAGCCTAAATAACAATCTTACAATTCTTGAGACGCTTCCGCGGCAATTTAGTTAAATATGCTTAAAAAATGAATTTATGTACATTAATCTTAAATTTTCTCGATTTAAAAAAATTATCACGACGGGATTCGAACCATATCAACCTTTCCATCCATCCTCTATAATTTATTGAAACGGACATTGGTGGCGCTGGTGTCAAGCGTGAAGCGTGGCGTGGTTATTTTAGCGGTCTTTCGTCTCGTGTATCGGTGTTTGTGAGGTTAAGTTGAGTTTGTGTTCAAGTTTCGTTTTATTATTCAATCTTTTTGCCGGCGGTTACGAAATTTGTTTGTGCTGAACGTCGGTAAGTACTTACAAATTACAATATTAACTGCTATACATATAGTTATTAATGTTAAAAATATCTTCGTTACAATTAGGTAATTACTTAAATTACTCATTCATTACCGTTTGATATAGGTACCTATTATTACCAATACCTATCCCATATTCATGGATCCCTCATCAGAAAAAAGAAAATTATTCAATAAGTTCAGTCAACGTTTTAAGCGCTTAAAGCAAAGTAATGAAAGTTCTCAAGTAAAAACTCCCGAAAATCCCGCTCAGAGTAACCCGGATGATTTTCAAGCAGTTGACAAGCTCGTAATTTCATCTGCTCTGTCGTCTCATTACACTGTTGAGGAGGAATCATCTCGTGAGACAGATACGGAATCGGATAACAGTGAATCCCATGACAGCCAAAATATAATTCAGGGAGACCAATATGATAATGTCACAGGCCAACCATCTCTTTATTTAAATAAAAGTATTGAAGAGTCCGAGCAGTGTCGGTCTTTACCTTTAAATATTTCCTTGTCAAATTGGGCATTAAAACATAATATCAATCATACAGCCTTATCTGATCTATTAATTATATTAAAACAAGAACACCCAACGTTACCAAAAGATGCAAGGACCTTTTTAAAAACTCCTCGACATGCTGGTTCACAAATTAGGTGTGTAGCTCCAGGTTCATATTACCATTTTGGTTTAGCGCAGTGTTTACAAAATATACTCGCACAGTTGTTAAAAGAAAATCGGTTTATACCCAGTGTTTTAGAAATTTGTGTAAACATAGATGGCTTGCCTATTTCTCAAAGTTCCAGTAATCAAGTTTGGCCTATAATGATCAATTTATTCAAATATACAAATATTGTCGAGATTTGTGGAATTTATCAGGGAAATGAAAAGCCACACAGTTCTAATGATTTTATGTTAGATTTTGTTATGGAGGCAATTGAATTAATAAATAATGGTTTTTTCTACAATACAATTTGTTATAATGTAAAAATAATTGCATTTATATGTGATGTGCCTGCGAAATCATTCTTAAAATGTATAAAGGGGCATAGTGGATATATGTCGTGTACTAAATGTAACATCGAAGGATCTTATATTGAAAATCGAACATGCTTTCCAAGCTTAGAGGGGTGGAATTTAAGAACAGATTCAGGTTTTCGAATGAAAGAACAAAGCAGTCATCATATTGAAACGACTATTTTAGAATCTATTCCCTGTGTCGATATGATTAAGTCGTTCCCCATTGACTACATGCATTTGGTGTGCTTAGGTGTTACAAAAAAACCTCTAAATAACTTATGGCTCTGTGGTAAACCACCTCATCGTTTTTCATCACAACAAATTAAAAATTTGTCAGATCATTATCTCACATTTAAAAACCAAATACCTTATGAGTTTATGAGAAAGCCAAGGTCATTTCTGGAAGTCAAAAGGTGGAAGGCTACAGAATTTCGTTTATTTCTGTTTTACCTGGGTCCTATAATATTAAGAAAAAGAGTCTCAGATGAAATATATGAAAACTTTTTGACCCTCCATGTATCAATGACATTACTGTCAAAGTGTGATAATTTACTGTATGCTAAGCAGTTACTTAGACATTTTGTACTAACTTACACAATGCTTTATGGAGAAGCAAATGTTTCCCATAATATACATAACTTGCTTCATCTTACTGATGATGTTGAAATATTTTGCAGTGTTGAAAACTTTAGTACATTTCCATTTGAAAATAAGATGATGTATATAAAAAAACTAATTCGTAAAGGTGATAAACCGCTGCAGCAAATCGTTAATAGAATATCCGAAAAAAACACACAAATTCTATTTAATGATAGCAAAACAATTACGTATCCAAAGTTCCAAATTGAACATTCGAAAGGTCCACTAATGGAAAATATATCTGGCGATAGATGGCAACAATTTGAAAAAATTGTGTTTGAAAAGTTCTTATTATCAATACAAGATGCTGATAATTGCTGTTCACTTATTGACAAAAGTGTGGTCATTATTAGAAACATTATAGTAAGTAGTAAAGGTAAATGTATTAAATTAATTGGTAACAAATTTTTAACCTACGAGGACTTTTATACGTCTCCCTGTAAGTCTTCAAAACTTAATATTTATTTGGCAAGTTATTTAGAAAATGAATTGAAATCATGGGATATAAATGAAATTGCCTATAAATGCATGAAGTTGTCTTATAAGACCAAATTTGTAATTTTACCATTAATCCACACAAACTAAGATTTATACAAATTTTTTAGCTTTTTAAGGTGGGCGTACACTGCAAACGAAATATATAAATCAGCTACTTATCGACCTACTTCCATACTTTTAAGGCATTCCAGGTCATCTATGCTAAACTGGACGAAGATTGAAATCATAGTTTCATTTAATTCATTTCAGCCCATGTTAGATTTAAAAGGCTTTTTCAGTTCATATACTAAACTACCTAAACGAAAACTGCCTCCAGAGTTGCTCAAACTTAGTTTAATTGTCCTTAGCTGATTTTAATTTCGTTTATTTCGCAATGCCCGCGCCCCTTTAATATTTTCTTATGTTTATATATGTATAAGAGTTGTATAGCACACACATTTATTAAAAGTTTATGGGACGAAATTTTCACACATGTATCTACGTATAACATCGGTCTATTATAAGGTGTTTCTGTTCTTGTTTTGCCCTTTTGTTGTTTTTTTAGTTCCTATGGCGTCTCCAAATAATACATGGACTGTGGTGTGTTTCACCAATGATGAAACGGTGGAGGCAGTTCCGACAAAATGGTTAAGTGGAGATCAGTGCTTATGGCCAGTGGTAACTAGAGACAAATTAAATACCTACATAAGAAAATGTGAATTTAATTCATGTTGGCCATCACACACTGTGAGAACATTTCGGAATGCAACATATGGTAATCTTCATATTTGTGGTATTAAAAAAATAATTTGTGAAAGAATATGTACCTAATTTTTGATTAATGAAAACAAAAATTTAATTAGATAATAATCAAAGTGAAAAAGGAATTTTTTTTTAGATAATTACTCTGTTGCGAGGAGCAAAGCTAATAAAGCTGAAAATACAAGTGACCTGAACACAGATTGTGATGATGGTCCTTTATCAGGAAAAAGGAAAAGAAAGAAAAAAGTGATCTCTTCATCTTCAGACGACTCATCAGACACTGAATCTATGAATGAGAAGCGGGCCAATAAAGGTAAAATGCCTTCTCCACCAGCATGGACTGATGATGAACATCGGACTCACAAAGATTCACATCAGTTAGGTAAGAGGCTGTCAAAATATTTTTTTATCAATTTTAATATAATGTTCAGAGTCCCTGAACACTTCAAATTAATGTTGCAACATTCTGTTTTATCTGAGTTCTTATATTTTATTTACCTTTTGTAGCTGAACCAGAAGCATGCATAGATGAACTTGAGGAACAGGTGGTTGTGGTACCACCTGTTATTGAATCATTACCTTCAACCTCGATTGCCCCTAGCCAACAAGAAAATGAAATTAACAATATCACACCACGAAAGCCTATAGACTCCATTAAGGAAAATATAAGCAAGTTTATTTAATTTTGTTAGAAATAAATTGATGTCTAATCAAATTTTTTCAGGAAGGGCAGACCGAACAAAATGTTGTTGCAATCCAGCTTTACTATACAACATTCAGGCATTACTTATCGAAATCAATAACAAGCTGAACAGTGTACCTAGGAAAGCTGAGGAAAATGAAGAAAATATCATTCGGAAATCCGGAATTAGTTTTCCTATGGAAACTATTCAGGAATTCGACAAATTTGAGAAATTCTTTTCGGCAAGAGAAAATTATTTAGCTTTGGTAATATTTTTTATTATGTTATTTAAACAATTCATAACCAACTTCGGCTGCACAAATTCCCAACTTTCTTTATATCAATTCTAAATTGGCATCAGCATTATGTTGGTAGTATGGTGCAGCGCTACCAGTATTAATGGTCTGTTGTTGTCAAGCTGCTGTAGATTTGTTTCAAGCATTAATATATAAAACACGTTTTATAACCATTAATTTTAAATTATACATGACATCAATATTGATTGATTATGTCATTGTTGTCTATGACGCACTGCTCTGATTAAAAGACTGCATGAAAAGCAATGCTTTGTATATTTCATTTAAACTTACCAATGTATGATGCAATGTATTTTTTGCAGGTTGGATTTTTCTCATCTATTGGAGGAGCTAATTTATATGAATTTGTACGTAGATGCCTTGCTCCTCTACTATGGGATGGATTATCGGAACAGTTTTCCTTCTTTGGAAAAAAAGGAAATCTTTCCTTTGGGGATAAAAATTTGGCAAAAATAATAATAGGTAAATACATTGTGTTAGTTTAACGAAATTGAGCGAATTAAACAATATTAATTCTCTAATGTCTTAAATATTACGCACATTATACCTACACACTGACCAGTAAATCCTGACTTTCCAAGTTCTGGTGTGCACATTAGTGCGCAGTTCAGCAAAGCTACACATGGAATTTGTTAATCCCCAACATGCAGGTCTAATAGGAACGTTTCATGACCAGGATTTGCTGATCCATATTGGTCTGTACAGAAATAGTGTGCACAATATTTTTAATGGACGAGAGATACTTGATTAATATGTGATATTAACTGTGTTATAAACTGTTTTGTTTAATACATTTTACTGCTGTGTATACATTGGTACAAACATTTGCAAAATTTTAGAAGCCGCTGAAAAAGGTGGACATGCAAAAAATAAAAAGGAAGTTGAGCAGAAACTGGGGGATTGGCTGCGAAGATCTAAGGAACGACGCATTCGGGCAGAACATAAACGTGCAACAAAAAAATAAGAATTTAGGTATGGAGAAGCGTGTTTTTTGTATACATACATACTTATAGAGCTTTATTTAGGTGCTATTGGAAACTTGAGTATCCCAAACACCATTATAGAATATTAAGGCAGAGGGCAATTTGTTGTTTAAGAGAATATTTTGTTTTTTACATGTTTTCTGTAAATACTTTGTATCAAACTCCATATTAAATCTTTGTTATTTTATTAAAACAAATTTTATTACTGCTTTTGAAAATCCCTGTTTTTATAAATTGGAACATTCCAACATCATCTTGTGAATGTCCCCGTGTAACATCTCGCATACATGTTTCTGTAACATCGCAAATGATGACATGGCTGTTGCCAGACACGTCCCTGGGATGTCTATAGGAAAATAGGGACCTCTTAGGGATGTTTGTATTGTCTCATTGGAATGTTTTTAGGATGTTTGTGGGATGGAATTGTGTTATTAGGGATAGGGCTCACTCGTAAAACTCGCGCATCATGCACTCGCCCAGGCATCCCAACATGTACATTTAAAAATCGTAACTGATGATCGCAGATGCCTGAAGACAAATGATACATTTGGTCAGAGGTATCAGCATTTATATTAGAACTGTAGGTACCTTGTAATATTATAGAATGAAACTGTTTTCGATTATAATAATCCTGCGCATTGTACGGAGGCTGTTTAACAGGGATATGGCATCCATCAATTGCGCCAACAACTTCTGGAAAGCCACCTGAACGTTCATAAAACACCTACAATTATAAATTTACCCAAGGCTCGTTAACAGTTTATAATGGTTACATTAATCGTGTGTTCGTTATTTTGTGGCCACGTAATAAACTGTGGCATCATCTCCAATATTAAGAAAATAATTTCTTTGAACACCCCATGTGCTGTACTTCGTGCCAGTCCAAACCGATCACCTGCCGCTAGAAACGTTTCCGGTTTGGCCAATATCCAGATTGAAAACATACGTTTCTTCTCCAGCGGGATTGCATGGTTTGCCATGCCATTGGCATTTCCAACAGTAATTAGTAATTGCTGAAAAGTAACATTAGTATTATAAATGAATTTAAAGAATACTTATTACCTCAAAGGTTGGCCGTGTCATTCGGAAATGTTCAGAAAATAGGTCTCCCATATACTGTGCAATTGTCTCCTCGTAATCATTCTCATTTCGAGGTACAGGTCTTCTTGGGGCTTGTTCAACAGGCGGTAAGGGATCTGCTAACATAAGAGCTTGGTCTATAGCAATATTAGTTGGGAAGTTATCTTCCATAATTTCTTGATATAGAACTAAATTCACAATATCTAAATCCATGCTGCCTAAAAGTTAAGTAAATGTAGGCCATAGGCCATGTATGACCTCACCTAAAACTTACCCTAAGCGGGGACAAAAATTAAATAACTGCTAAATTTGACACAATAAAACAGCGCTCCCCAAACTAACGAATTGTGTTATCAGCAGACGTCACACAACTGTTACAGCTCCATCGGTAACTGCTCGCTTTGGTATTCGTCTACTGAACGCGAGCATTGATATCATGTCCTGACACAACATTTAACTTATACTGGACAGGTTGCAATGGTAAATCTAGTACTTAACTGCTTAAACCTACTATACGATATTACGGATTTACAAGCACCCGTATCTATCTCAAATAAAATCTTTTTATTGTTTACCTGCACCATTACCTTATGTGGTGACGTTGTACTGGAACTTAGCTTATTTAAGCTTAACAAGTCGCTATTTACATCATCGCTTTGATCTGACTCCTCCCGTTCCTCCACAGCACCCACGACCCAACTCGTACCGGCAGTGCACAACCTCGATATATGGCCAAATTGGTGACATTTGTAGCAACGATACTTCACAGCTGGGCACTTATTCTTCTCATGCTTCTGACCACACTTGCTACATGACTGTGAAGTTGACACTTCGGTTGATGACTTACTTTTCACAAATGCCTTTTTGGTGTATGCATTTGGCTTTGTAAACTGCTTTCGACTAATGTTGACACTGGATACTGTTCCACTGGTACTGCATAATCCTTTGACCTGCTTTTCAGCCGTCTCACATGCTTGCGCAATTTGACATGCAGTGGTAAATGTCAGCTTCGACTCCGACAACAACCTCTTCAGTTTCTGAACTTACTCCGCACACAAACTTATCCCGCAATGCTTCTTCTAAAAAAATTTTAAAGTTACATGTACTCGCTAACTTACGTAGTTCGACTATGTATTCAGCAATGCTTTGCCCCGGTTTCTGGTTGCAATTGTTAAAAACAAAACGTTCGTATATCTCCGACACAGGAGGCGAATAGTGCTTTCTTTAATTTAATGCTTTACCAAGTTAACACATAACCTCACTTTTTAACACGTGCAGTACGTACTTTTTACAACTACTTTTGTTCACAAGTCACAACTCGTCGCCAATATGCTGTGTATTTAAACAAACTAAACACGTGGATTCTAATAGTTTAATAAAAGATAACGACTGCATTACATGATACATAAAGAAGAGCTTATGCAATGCAACCTACTAACTGAACTTGACATGGACGACCTCCGGTCAGTGTTGCCACCATTTCGCTTACAATATTCCCTTCGCCATGCCATTGGCATTTCCAACAGTAATTAGTAATTGCTGAAAAGTAACATTAGTATTATAAATGAATTTAAAGAATACTTATTACCTCAAAGGTTGGCCGTGTCATTCGGAAATGTTCAGAAAATAGGTCTCCCATATACTGTGCAATTGTCTCCTCGTAATCATTCTCATTTCGAGGTACAGGTCTTCTTGGGGCTTGTTCAACAGGCGGTAAGGGATCTGCTAACATAAGAGCTTGGTCTATAGCAATATTAGTTGGGAAGTTATCTTCCATAATTTAGGTCCCTCTAGCAAAAGCAAATAAAATGCACATTTCTAAATTCGCACTGCGCCTGCGCAAAACGGAACTTTCTTATTTACGGAACGATTTACACGCAATTTTGGTTTTAGGTCCCTCTAGCAAAAGCAAATAAAATGCAGTTTTCAAAATTCGCACTGCGCCTGCGCAAAACGCAACTTTCTTATTTACGGAACGATTTACACGCAATTTTGGTTTTAGGTCCCTCTAGCAAAAGCAAATAAAATGCAGTTTTCAAAATTCGCACTGCGCCTGCGCAAAACGCAACTTTCTTATTTACGGAACGATTTACACGCAATTTTGGTTTTAGGTCCCTCTAGCAAAAGCAAATAAAATGCAGTTTTCAAAATTCGCACTGCGCCTGCGCAAAACGCAACTTTCTTATTTACGGAACGATTTACACGCAATTTTGGTTTTAGGTCCCTCTAGCAAAAGCAAATAAAATGCAGTTTTCAAAATTCGCACTGCGCCTGCGCAAAACGCAACTTTCTTATTTAC